AATCGATGAAAATTTGCAACATCCTCTCCACTCTTCAGAAGCAACAAGACAAGGGTAAGAAGCCCATCACTGAAAGCCATCAAGCTCTATACTCCGGACCTCCACCAAAGCCAAAATCAGGCTAGTGTCAAGAAGAGATCCTTCAGGCCCTTGAAGAAAGCATCCGAATTCAATCTTTTAAGGATGACAATCCGCATCCGATGTTAGGGATCTCTCCACTCTGTAGAGATGGAATTCTAAAGGATGTCGACATAGTGCCCTTCATGTACTATGACATCCCCAACAATGATTCGGAACAACTTGATCTTCCTCTCTCTCTCTCTCTCTCTCTCTCTCTCCCTCTCCCTTCAGCAAGTTCTACACCAAATTTGCTCATCTCCATCCATAGGATGATCCTCAAATGATCATCCAGACTGAACGAGAAAGATTGAAGACCTTTTATGACAAGAACGCACTTCCTCTCAAATAAGTATGGTCTCGGAAAAGGATCACTAAGATTTCCAGATTCTGAAGGAAAATTATGACAAAGTTTAAACTCAACTGCATTCTATTCCGGTATCACATCTTCCGGAACAAACCAACCTGCAAGACCATTACTGATGCTGATTTCCCTACTCTTAATCCAAATGACATCCTGATCATTGCTGCTCACTTCCGAAGCATCCAGTCAGATGATCTCAATATGGGAGCTTATCATTCGGCCTTAAGTTTTTTTAAGGATTACGTTGTTGAGTTCTGTCGATGCGATTATGAATTGGCCCACCTATTCGGAACATATAATTTTTTGGCCAAAATCGACTTCAAACTTCCTGAAGCTGAAATCCTTGCGGAAGGACCCATCGATGAACCGGTGTTAGGCATTCCACACATGTTCGCATCACCTCCATCACGTCTTGGTGTATTCTTGGCCAGTAAATGCCCATCTATAGTATCTTCCCCGTGAGAGCCCTTGCTCATTCATATGCGCCAGCTGGGTCGGCATGCGCCTCCCGAAGTGCTTCCTTGCCCTTGGCTTCATCTATTCACTTTAACCACGGCGTCATGAACCCTTTTTGATATAGCACCCTTTCTATGATCATGTATATTGGTACCTTGATTCTTACTTTCCTAGCTTCTTCGTGGCTATCGGGTAAGACGTCGTGCTATAGGTATTCAGTGATTGTGTCATCCAGGTGTGCCATGATGGTGCCAAGGTGTGCACATGTTGTTCTTCTATGCTTCTTTCCTTAAGTACCTCCACCAAAACCTTCTTAGATAAGTGACCGAAGCATGTTGATGTCAGTTTGCTGAGGGCGTCTTCTCTCTTATTCTCCCCTCTTGTAATTTGCTTGATGGTAAGCTTCTTGAGAGGTTCGATGAGTCTCTGAACGACCCTTACATATTTATCCATTCGTTTTTCTCTTTCTTCAAACTCTCCATTTATCTAATTTGCTGCTAGCCTCGAATCCGTTAGGGCTGTCACTGTGTCCGCGCCCGTCTGTATTGCCAATCGTAGGCCGGTTAGCAGGGCTTCATACTCAGCCTCGTTGTTAGAGGTATGGAAATTGAAGCGGAGGGCGTAGGTGATTTCTACCCCACTTGGGCTCGTTAGGTTCAAGACTGCCCCGATCCCTCTTTGATAGACGCCCTGTCAGTGTCTAGGGTCCATTCCTGGCTTCCCTTTGGCCGGCCTAAACTCGATAATTCTTTCCCGCAAGTGGTTGCTTTCACTTCCCCTGGGATCTCAAGGAGGAAATTTGCTAACGCTTGTCCTTTGATGCTGGCACATGGGTGGTAGCTGATTTTATGTTCCCCTAGTTCGATTTCCTATTTTGCCAAGCGTCCAGACGTTATTGGATTGAGTAATATCTGTTTGTTTGGGCAGTTCGTCAATACCTCTATCTGGTGTGCTTGGAAGTACTGTCTCAAGCGTCATGCTGCATAAATGAGTGTAAGAACCAGTCTTTCCAAGATAGGGTAGTTGGTCTCTGGTCCTTGTAGAGCTCAACTAAAAAAATAGACCGACATTTTATTTCTTTCCCTTTCCACTACCAGCACCGAGGAGATGGCTTCATTCGGCGTTGAAAGGTATACTTGTAGTGTTTCACCTGGGATGGGGCTGGCTAGTGCGGGTAACTTGTGTAAGGCTTCCTTGATCTGCTGGAGCGTTATTTATGTTGCTGATGTCTATTGGAAATTGCTCTTCTCAATGCATCCTTCGAGAGTATGGAAGAGTTCCATGGCTCTTTCTGCCGACCTGTAAATGAAATGGCTCAGAGCGGTTAGTTTACCATTCAACCCTTGAGCATCTCTCAGGGTGTGCGGGGATGACACATCCATCAACTCGTCCATTTTAGCCGGACTGGGTTGGATTCCTTCTTTAGTTACATAGTATCCCAGGAATTGCCCTTCTACGACACCAAAGGTGCATTTCCTGGGTTTAAACTTAATCTTGACCTTTTGTAGTGTTCTGAGTGTTTCTTCCATGTCTTCCAATAATCTTCTATCGTCTGGGATTTTTATGACCATGTCGTCGACGTATACCTCAACATTTCTTCCGACCTGTTTGGCGAAGATGGAGTCAACGAGACGCTGGTAGGTTGCACCTATATTCTTCAGGTCGAACGACATTTTGGTGTGAGCAGAACACACCATGGTCCGTATAAAAGGCTGTCTGTTCTTCATCTTCCATGTTCATCAAAATCTGGAGGTACCATTTGTATGCGTCCAGAAAACATTTCAGTCGTAACCCTTGTAAGGATTCTACCTTTTGATCGATTTCTGGTAGGGGTAACAGTCTTTGGGGCAAGCTTTGCTTAAATCAGAATAGTCAATGCACATACGCCATGTGCCATCATGTTTTCTGACCACGACGAGGTTTACGATCCAGGTCAGGAAGATTGCCTCTGTAGTATTCCTGCTATGGTTAGCTTGGCAACCTCGACATTGATTTTCATGTTCATGTCTCCTCCGTGTGAACTTGCTTTTTCTACTTGACCTCCTTGGCGCCCGGCTTAATCATGATTTTGTGTTCTATGACTTCTCTATCTACTACCCCCACCATATCAGTGGGGGTCCAGGAGAAGGCATGCTTGTATTTATTTAAGAGACTGATCAACGCTTGTCTTGTCGTTGGGGGAAGGCTGCCCATGTGCTGAGCGGTGATCTGGGTGCTCTCTGTTGATGATCTCATTTCCGCTTATTGGCTCCGCTCGTGACCTTTTAGTTTCCTGTGTGATCTCTTTTGGCTGCATGATCTCGTAGCATCGCAGTTCTTTTGGCGGTATTGCTAGGACCATCCCCGGTCCTTCCGTTGTGCTAAATTTTACTATTCCATGCATTGTTGATGGGATTTCTCCGAATTTGAGTAGGTCGTTCGTCCGAGAATGATGTTGTGTTCTGCTGGGTGCCGGATTACATCGAAATCTATGAGGATTGTCTTCTTCTTTGCCTTGCCGTAGCTGGTCAGCGTGAATGGCAGGTGGATCGTACGTAGGGGCCACAGGGTGTGTCCTGTGAAGCCTATCAATTGCCCTGTTGCAGGTTTGAGGCTCTCCTTCCACCTATATGGGAGAAGATGGAAACAATGTTCGTAGATAATATTTGTTGAACTTCCGGTGTCAATGTATACCCGATGGATAGTGATATCTTTGATGGATCCCTGGATTATGAGCGGGTCATCTCCTCGCCGACCTGTACGTCGAGGGTCTTTTGCTAGAACGTTAAGCCATGCATGGATTTTGCGAGGTTGTCTATACCGTTACATTCTTCCTGCCTCCCTCTTTTGGATCTGATCATCAGGATCTCGTGGGGTTGGTCACGCTCTTTGGCCATGTCCTTAGCATTTTTGGCATCGAACTTGGTGCGGAGGCTCCGTGCTACTTCTATCAGCTTCCCTTTTATTTGTTTCTCCTCCATTTCCATTTTTAATACTGAAAAATTGATAGTGTCGTGTGTTTTACTTTTGTGGTATTCGCAGTACCGTCCTTTTGCTCCTTTCACTGGTTGTCTATCGGAGACTGCGTAGACGTCTGGCCGTCTGCCTCTCCTATCATCTCTTTGAAATGGCCTAAAATGTCCTTGTGGGCATTTCCAACCCCCGAAGTGCCTGTTACCACCCGGAGTCTCCGGGTGGTGCGAAGGCGGGTTGTGATGCTTTGTGGCTGAGGCAGTCATGGCGTTCAAGTACACTTTCTTGATTACCTCCCCTTCTTCTTGTATTAGGTAGCGCTCCACCTTTTCTTTCAGTTCAGTTCGTGTCTGGGGTTTCTTCCCCATGAGCTTCTGGGATAGTGGTCCCGGGAGAAGGCCCGATATGAAGGCGCCTGCTATTAATGCTTCATCGTGCCCCGAAACGTCTAATGTAGCATTAGTAAACCTGGTGAAGTATTCTCACACCGTCTCCCCTTCCTTCTGCTTGCAACCAATGATTGAGTGTGAATCTCCTTTGTACTTGCGCAGTTGCATGAAATTTGTCAGGAGAAGATACTTTAATTGGCCGAAATTCTAAATGCTCCTAGGTTGTAACGGTTTGAACCATGTACCTGTGTTTCCGTCTAAGGTTGTCGGGAAATACGTACACCAGAATCACTCGTCCAATTTTGACGAGGTCATTGTCCATTCGTAAGTGTCGATGTGACTATCTGGATCTGTGGTTCGATTGTAGGTTTTAAGGTGTGGTAGCTTTGTTGTATTGGGATTTCGTAGTCTAGGAGTTCCTTAGCGAATGGATATGTCACGCTTCCTGATAAACAATCATGGTTTGGGATGGTGAAAACACCTTGGGGGTTGAACTGCTGAGCGGTGAGGTATGGTTGCACCAACATGTTGTACAATGAAAGGTTCCTTGGAGTTGGGCCATAAAAGCTTTGCTGCTAGAATAGGAAGGTTAGTGGTTGGGTTGCTAGGAATGACGGGTTAGGTGCGAACAAGTGGTTTGACGTGAACGACGAATGTTGTGGGATTGTTGAGTTGAAGGGTATGTTTGTCACAAACGGGTGTGTTTAGAAAAACGCCGTTTGTTATCTCGTCGTCTGGTTTTGCGGCGGTGCTTGTAGGAGAACCGGTATGCCGCTGACATTGTCCACCGTTGGTGGTGTCGTGCTACTTGAGATCGTCGTTAGTTGGTGGTTTTGTGTGGAGGCGTTTTGTGTCAACACGGTGGCAGAGGACGTCGACCCTTCAGCAATCGGCCTCCATAATTTGCTCATTGGAGCAGCAGTTATTGTTGAGCCATCTTGTTGTGGTGCTTCATCGGTAACTGGTGTGAAGATGGGAGTGGTGATTGGTTCCAACGACATCATAGGTCTCATGCGGCTCGTCGGTTTCCCACTAGCTCCACCGGTGTCGCCGGTTGTCATCTTCAGGTGTTAAGAGGTGTACTTTGGTTTGTTGTTCATCACACACCGGATGGCATCAAATGATGCGACCTCGTCACTGGGCGTTGATCTCCGCTACTTCTAGATATTCCGGTGAACCTGAAAGGTCACAACAGGGTGGAACCGTTCTCCGTTCTCCGGGAGGGGGTCCCGCGAAAACTCTCTGACGGTCATGTCAGTAGACGGACTTGGGTGGTTTTCTGTTTAAACTGGGAAAGAACGACTTACCTTTCAAGGTACCGGAGGAGGCCTTTTATACTAAGGCCTCCTGCTAGTCCGTACCAGACAAGGGCGTCAGACCCGAGAGGATCGGGCACGCTGCTTGGGCAATCGTGCTCCTTATTCTGTCAGAGCTCACAATTGGTTCATGTGGTAATGCGCTGAGCATCCCCCTTATCGTCTGGAGCCGTTATTCTTTGTCGCGGAGTAGAAGGCGCCCCTGGCGGGGCCGAGCCTTCTCCGCGAGCGCGAGGTTCCGTCGGGCTTGCTCTATTAGGCATGAACTGCCTTGGGGAGTTCTTTGGAACGTCCGAGCGCGACTCCTGACTCGTGCTGAGGGCACATCATCAGTTATATAGTTGATCAATTTAACCAAGGTTGTAAAAAACGCTCGACGGGACCTTGACAGTCCACTAGGGTTAACAGATTAATCAGTCTAGGAGGGGATTAATTGGGGACCCTATATTATTAATAAAACTCTTTAAAAACTTATTATATCATAAGAAAATAAGTATTTGAACATTTAAAAATTTGAAAATTGGAAAATATGAAATATTTTATATACTATTTGAAAATTTAAAATTTTGAAATTTTGTAAAATTTGGCATGATTTTTAAAATTTTGAAAATTTGATTTTTTTTAATTTTTACCGCCTAGGAGCGCCAAGGACCGCCAAGTCGGAGTTTGACCGATATTGACCAATTTCCGCCAAGCACCCCTAATCGCAATCGGTTGTAGACCACCAATCGATTAATCCCTGGTTAATCGGTTGCTGTTTAGACTTGTCGTAGTGTCTAAACAAATAATTAATATGTATAAAAATGTTTCTCAAATGCACTAATGGGTAGTACAAGAAAGCAGGGTCGTCTATGCCTTCTTGCATAGGGCACACAATAGTTTAACAGTAAATTAAATGGGTGGGGGTGTTGATTATTAAAACTAAGTTGAACAAAAATTAATAAAAGAAAAATAAAATTTAAATACTTGAGAAATTAAGAGAATAAAAGACAATTCCAGTTCCGCGGCGACTCTCCTAATCATGCAAGTAACTTTGCAACCCGATTGTTTGAATTGTGCACTGTTTAAACTAGTACTGAAAATGATTAACAAGCTTGTAACATCCTAGAAATACGGATACAATTTTTTGTTTTTAATTTCATTCAATCATAAAACACTAATATCAAAATAGTCAAATGAGTATCATAGTAACATGTTATCAGAGTACAAATTCCCAAAATCTCTAAACGCGGAAACCATAGGGCAATGCGGTGCGATCAAGTCAGGCCCTTACCATTCAAACTGGAAGTACCTGAAACATAAACTAAAACTGTAAGCACAAAGCTTAGTGAGTTCCCCCAAAAGAATGTTGGATTAGTGTCTAAGCCCGTAACTATATTTGGTATGTACTTGACCCGGTTGTGCATGGTCCTTTTGGGTTGCCTTCACCAAAGCAACTACATAAGATGATTTATGAATAAAGAGGTTATTATGGTTTATTAATATATTATATGAATAATATATTAAAGGAGAAATCATATAGTTTAATTAATATTAGACAATAATTAATTAAGAATTAATTATGTGGCTAAAAGACATTAAATAAATAAAACTGTCAATTGTGTGATAGCTGAATATTGGGTTGATAAGCCTTATGGATTAGGCATGGATGAAATTAAGGATGTGTCCATCTTAATTTCGGCCATAGAGACCTTATTCCAGAAGGTTCCTTGGACTGCTTAAGGCCTAAGCTGTCCATTAGGGTTTTGACTGAAACCCTAGCAGCACAAGTATAAATAGACCCATAGGGCATCAGTTTTCGGACACTGGAAACCCTAGAAGAGTTCATAGCCGAAATTGTGCCTCCTCCCCTCTCTCCAATATCATCCTCTTTCTTGTGGTGTTTGTAAAGCCATTAGAGGAGTGATATTTGTGACTCTAAGCTCCAAGAGACGAAGATTCAAGCCATTCTTGAAGAGGTAATCATCTAGATCTGATTTTATATGATAATTTTGAAATATGTATGCTAGATCTAGGGTTCATAAGTCTTGGATGAATTGCATCTACAATAGAGAAACCTAGATCCAAGCTTTAGGGTTTGCATGAGCATATAGGATGTTCTTTTGTACGAAACCCATCAGAGGTATCAGAGGCTTGATTGGTTTCTATTGTATTGATGCCTTGTATGTTCATCTTGCTGAAAATCGTTTTTCTGCCCTCTGCCCGACCTGACTCGACGAGTCACTTGCTGAACTTGGCGAGTCGGCCCAACTCGACGAGTCCAGTGAGTGACTCGGCGAGTCGGGGAGTCAGACAGAGGGATACTCGAGATTTCTTGTTGTTTTGCTGAAGGATAATTACCAAAACTGTTTTTGACTAATAAAATCCGATTATTATTATTAATATGTGATTATCCTCACCAAAACAAAAGATAATTACCAATTATTTGAATAATAAATTCCTTATATGATAAAATTTGATTATTTGAATTATTTGATGAATTATCTTGTGAATAAAATGGAATATGTCAAAATTTAGATAATCATTAAATTAAATGTTTGATTTAAATTATTTCCTATTTGATTCTATGTGTTCTGAAAAGTTCAAAACTTGCCCTCAAGTTTTGGAATTTAAATTTTTTTAACTAAAAGTTTAATTTAAATCATAAAAAACTCAAACCCTAGAATTTTACAAGTTTAAAATTCATCCTATACTATTATAATATTATAAGAATAATAATTATATATATGTATAACTTAAATGCTAGTCTGTAACGCCCGTGTTTCAGGGCTAAGCATTTTAGATGATGTAATAGTCTAGGTCAACTATTGTAACTCTTTTTGATGTAATAAAGATGAAAATATTTGAATACTATGTGAATTATGTGTATTTGTGTGCTTATTACTTATTTATAAATGAATAATAAATAAAGGATAAAAATAAGCGTCAAAATTAAATTATGGGATGAGCCCGATGTCTTTACATAAAGTTGTAGTGGTCGAAACAAGGATTCCGGGGATATAAAGAACGCCGAAATCCGAGTTATAATTCACATAATACTATGTGAATTATGTGTATTTGTCTTTACATAAATAGTGAATTTACGATAGAGCAAGTTTTAGCCTTAGCGACCTAAACGAAAGTCGTAGAATATGTTAAACCGAGAGCGTCCATAAAAAGAACGCCCAAATCTGACTTCGTATGAGGAAGTTATGATTTTTCGAAGTTTCGACTTAGCGGTGTACAGCCCGAAGTTCGAATATTAGATCGAGCGGTTTTTAGCCGACACAACCTAAACGAGAATCGAAGATCTCATTAATAGTAGCGTAACGATAAAAAAGACAGACGAAAACGGACGTCAGATGAAGAAGTTATGGACTTTTAACGGACCAATCCTGTCCCGGCCTGTTAATAATATAACTTTTAAAATAAAGTCAAAATTAGCCGACAAAATCTAAACAAAAGTTGTAGAGTACGTTCCCGCCTACGTGTGGATATAAAGAACGTCAAAAACGGAGTTCGTATGCGAAAGTTATGAATTTTAGAAGTCAGGATGTGAATCTGCGAGATAAGATGACGTGGCATGATCCCAGCCTTCCCTTGCTCCCCACGGTCTCGCATCCGATGAACGACGCGTCACCCTTCGCTACGCCCCGCGTCCGAGAACGAGTACGCCTCGCGTAGTCTGGTCTTATCCGGTTCCGATACGAGCCACATGCGAGACAGCTGGATGCGAGCTGGCCCCCCTTATCCGAACTACGCCCAGCGTAGTTGAGTTGTACGCCCAGCGTACGGTCCGAAGTCTAGCCCTATAAATACCATGCGAAATGTTCCGGATTTCTCACTCATTTCTTCATTCTTTCTCTCACTACTTTCTCTCTCTAGGGTTTTTAACCCCCCCCTAAAGCCTAGGTGAACCCCCTAGCACCCGAAGGAATCCCCGAGGCTCCCGGAGTCCCGAGAAAAAAAGGTCTTTCGATTTGGAAACGCTGCTCCGAGCAAAGCCCGGTTTTCTATAAAACCCGCTGTAAGTGAGCTACGCCTACGCTATTTTTAATATAGCTTCTAATTAATTATAGTAACATTATTAGGACCTTAAAATAATTATTTGGGCTATTATTATGAGTTATATAGAGTGTTGTTTAACGCTTATATAATAATAATAATAGCTGGACTATTAATTAGTCGCGGTTAACGTTAGACTAAACCCTAGTGGTATTGATACTAGGTTTTGTCGAGGGAAAATTATTTTGAGATAACGAAGCGCTGTTCGAGTGCAGAGTCACCACCTTTCAGGTGAGTGCATAGTTACTTTCAGCTTACATATAGATATGAAGTATTTTATATAAATTACGTGCTGTGTGTGCATATTATCTGTATACTTGCTATCTATGCTGGATGAACGATTTTATACATGTTTTAAATAATTTAAACTGTATATGTATTTTATATCTACAAAATGTGTTGGGTAAAACATGGGTAGATGTAATAGTTGTTGTGTGACAAAATAAAATAATGAGAGGCCTCGTTATAGATGTTATTGATGATCCAGTCATCTAGCGGAGTATAGATGACGACCACAGACTATTCTAGACAGTCTAGTGGAACGCTAGCAGGCTCGCAACCTGTAGGTGTTTATTTGAACTGTGTGTTACCAGCAGTACTCCATCCCCCACATGGTTGCCTTACTTGACATGAATTGCTGAGGAATCCCCGAAGCATGTGTTATCACCCCGATGAAAGTCCTTAGACTAGGTCCCTTGTGT